TAAATATTTGTTTATTCAAAATAATTATTTTTATGAATAATAATAAATACCGCAAAATATTAAAAATAATGTTTAAAAAATCAATTTTTAAATCAACGGCAATTGTAAGACAGCTCTTTAAGCAGAAAGAACTCTCTTCCAATTTCCAAGACTAAACTTTCAAATCTATTTTCGAAAAAAAAGATGCACAGAACACAGCCCATTAACGGTGTTGGTGTTTTGTGCTTCTTTAACGGTACTCTTCACACGAAATATCACTTAATTAAGCACTTTAAGTGTTAATAAAATGAAATCACACAGATATTTATGTATGTAGTAGTCTTGAAAATTACTATTTTTGCAGTATATAATTAAACGAAGATGTATTGGCGAGATAACTGTGTAAAGACACTTAATTTTTTATTGCATACCGCAAAAGTTGATTGGTATGAGAATTGTTTACTTTTATTGTCTATTAGAAGAGTTCTAAGACGTACATAAATGCATTTTGTATTTTTATAAAAGAAAACATAAATTTATAATTTTATAAACAAAAAAACAAAAAAAAAAAAAGAACACAAACAAAGCACGGAAATTTATACTTAAGAAATGCCTTTTTTACGTCGCCGAAAACAATTTAAAAGTTGGATAACAAATTTAAACACGATTGGAAAATGTGGGGCTAGGGGTTAGGTAATTAGTATGAGGTTAGTAATTGCATTCGGAAAGTCGGTGTGGTAGTTCAAGCGTATTTAAGGTACACCGTAATGCAATACAATAACTGTTTTTATTTATTAAAAAGTAAAGAAAAAAATCAAACTATTTTTTCCTTGAGTAATAAGCTTATGTTCCTTTTTCTTAATGTTTTTTTGTCAAAAATTTTATTTATATATTTTTTTCTTAAATATTTCTTGGTTAGTCCTCATTGGAATTGAAATTATCGATAAAAATCGACATTTTTATTGAAAATATCGATAACGTTTAATTTTAAAAATCTAAGTTTTTATTTAAAATATTGATAACGATAAATTTGACGATCATGTTCACTTACTCGGTATTTATTAAGCTATTTTCGTTCTTTTATTTAATTAATGCAATGCAATTTTAGCAATTATGTAATTATTAATATTAGAATTGGAAAACCAGTTTTCATATTCGATTTAGAGGAAGGATCTAAAAATCAATCTTTATAACCAACACTTAGCAGTTCTCGTACTGTCAGTCTTAGTCTAATTAAAAAAAAGGGCGGTTTCGGATAAGCTCCACTCAATAACTGTAGTCTGCACTATATTGCAAATAACTGAAAAGGTTTTCTAAAAACTCCTTTTTTATTTTTGATTATCGTCTAAAAAAAAATTTTTTTTTTTTATAGTTTCCTTTTACTAATTGATTTATAATTTACCGGTCATATTAATCGATTTATAAGATATAGATAAAATTTATCGGTCATGAACAAATCGATACTAATCGATTTTAATTTATCGATGAAATTTATCGGACATGCTAATCGATTTATAATTTTTCGGTTGTACAAAACGATTTATAATTTATAGAAGACATTTATTTTTTAGTGTCGGTATTTACTGAGTTATAAAAATGGATCTTAGCGGTATTTGAGACAAGATTATTTAAACATTTAGGAGTTCATCAGGACGTTTACTTACAACCGTTCCCTCAATTTCCAATCGTTAGTTGTCCAACATTTTTTTCAATAAAATTTCTCGAAATATTCCACGTTACTTTCGCGCTGCACGAACGCTTTACCAATGAGCCACTATTGAGGCGTCTCGTCAGCTGCTTCGATACCAAAAATCAGGCGACCTAAACAACCCGCATTGAAGCAACACAATAGTATATTATATACATACATAAATACATAATTATGTATAACCTTTTCCTATATATAATAAAAAGTAACTAATAAATAGAAGCCAAGCTAACTTCTTTACATACATAAGTAATAATATAGATACACGCACACACAAAAACACCGATAATATTTATATTTAAGATGAGCTGATTCCACGCAAATCGGCTGAGGCTTGAATCAAGTAAAAAAGAAAAAACAAAATTATAAAAAATAATAATTTCAAGCATAAAAATTTAAAATATTTAAAAGGAAAAATCAAAAGTTTATTCTTAAATGAAATTAATATAACAGTAAACTATTGTAAGAAGAATGGTATGGTTAATAAGAGAAGTGCACAAGCATTTCAATGCTTAACAAAGCATTCTTATACAAAGAGGCTTGGAATATATAATATAAAAAAAAATTTAAAACTGAAAATTGAAATTGAGAGGAAATTTGTAAAGCTTCAAATTGTTATGGAACAGCGGTGAATTACAAATCGTCTCCATCCATAACGGTTAGGGAGCAAACACCACCGCAAAACACGGACATAAAATCGCGTGATGTGCAGACGTGCGACCGGCCGACGACTCGCCGAGCAAATGCATTAAATGCTTGTGAGTACACCAAATCGGGCGGTAATGCTTGCACTCGTTTGGTAATCGTAATTGTAATTGTAATTTGAAATGATAGCAGTGCTTTTTTATAATCACAAGAATATTACTTACATAAGTGCATATACATAAATACATACAAATTAATACAAATAAAGAAAAAAAAAATTAAGTGAATTAAATAAATAAGAAAAAAGTGGGAAAATTACTTGACCAAAGTAATGTGTATAAAAATAACGTTTTTATTAATTTTTTACTAATTTTCCAGAAATTTTAAAATATTTTAATTTATTTAATTTTTGTTTTTAATTACAACTTTGAAACGTAGCATTTTAATACAATAAAATTAGTTGCTATATTAAGCAAACTTGAGCATAATTGATGCTATGCGAACAAAATTAATTAATTAAACATAGAAGAGGAAAACAAAACAAAAAATAATTTAAAAAACGCGAAATTACCAAATAAAAAATAATAAAAATTAAAAATTAAATAAAGTATAGTTAATAACGTCACTAGCAACTATGTATTCTTTAACAATACCTATGTATATTTTTTACCCTTGGGAATTGATAATTGATATAACATTAAAAGGCGTAAAAATAAATAATTAAAAATGAAAAAGAAAATAAAAAACTGTAGCAACGCAGTAAATTTCGAATAAGTAAAGCAAGTACAGATTGAAGAAACAGAAAAGTTGAAAAAAACTTGTATTAGATAATTAAAGAAAATTATCTATGTACACTTAATATTATAAAAATAATATGAATAACTTAAAAATATGATCGTTTCATTGATTGTGAGTAAATTGGATGAAGATTGTAAGGTGAGTTTTTGCAGCAGACTTTGGGAGCAAGTTCGGGGGTCCGTTCCCACGACAGTCGGGTAGTCGGGAGTAAAAAGAAACGGACGAGGATTTTTATACGCCCAAGGACTGTCAACTCGACACCAATTCTCAAAATTACTTAATGTGCGTCTTTTTTTACCGCTACAACAACAGCAAGTTTTGTTAAATGATTGCTGAACTTCTTCACTTTCGTATTTACAAGTATCAAGCAGAACATATGATCATGATGAACATTTGATGATAAACGTTCTCTGATCCAAGTACAGGTCCTGTTTTCAATAGCTGTTTTTGACAGATCACGGTTGAGTCGTGTCACGCTGTCATTTTATTTCTGTTCACTATTATTTAGCATTTCATCATGGAAAGACTGTACATCGTTTACAAATCGTGGAACTTTATAACGATATATATTTCACGTTCTATAAAAAATATGTTGCGCGAGCTGAGCGTACTATTCGCAACACCATCACCCAAATCCAACTTTCAATATTGGATAATATTCGACCGAATAGACCACGTTCAGCGCACAGTGAAGAGCATATAGCAGTCGTATCTGAGAGTGTACACGAAGACTGTGGGGGAGTCAATTCGACGCCGCTCGCAGTAACTGGGGCTGACGTTTCAAACGACTTGTCGCATATTATGTCGAGATTTAAAACTGAAAGCGTACAAAATACAGCTTGTGCAAGAATTGAAGCCGCTCGACCTTCCTAAGCGATGTTGCTTCGCTCTATGAGCTCTGGAAGAGTTCCGATATTCTCGAGTAAAATTTTGTTCAGCCATAAGAACCGTTTCTGGCTCGCATGTAAAGAAACAGAACTGTGACAGTTCTGAATAGATTTAAGAGCAGTCATTTCATCCAGAAAAAACAACGGTTTGGTATGATTTGTGGACTGGTGGAAACATCACTTCATATTTCGTCAAAAATGATTCCAATGAAAACGTAACCAACAATGGCGACCGTTATCGCGCCGTGATAACCGACTATTTTATGTCGGAAATTGAAGCTCGTGATCTCGCCGCCATTTGGTTTTTGAACAAAAAGTCGGCAGTTCCTATTGGAGATCTTCCATCTGAGACGTAGCTCCGGCCAATATTTGAAAGAAATAATCTTCAAAAAAATAAAGGCCAATGATAATAAACACTCCCCATTAAATTTAATGTTTCGATGTTTTTTCTTTAAAAAAAATTAGATGACCTCGAAATGGATCACCCTTTATATGCTATGCAGTTTTCTCCTCACCCACAACAAATCATCGAATGGACTTCAGAGAAACTCTCAACAAATGTGTGACTAAAACTCAGCTGAATCCCTCGGCTCGAACTCATTCGAATAATTTTAGTATTACGATGAATACGTTACGATCAAGAACGAATTAACTGTAATTAATCAAACAAATAATTAAAATAATTTTTGTGTAAAATTTAGAAAATACTTAAAAAATAATAAAAATGATCCGAAACAGTGTGGAAATGGTTCGAAGATGCTGTTCTTGCGGTTCGTTACCCGAGAATAGTGGCCAAGGAGAAGAAACAGAGGACTTTAATGAACAGAAAATTAATGAGAAGTTAGAAAGACACTATATGGAATTGAACAGTGCTAAAAAGTTACTCTTGCTAGGTAAGCGAAATTGTCCAATATTATATATAACGTGCTAAGCGTGTAATTCTTGTGAAAAAAAAATTTATAAAAATATAACGAAAAAATTGTGTGGTCAAGACCACATGTTAAATGTACTATATATAAGTACTTAATATGTATGTTGTTTATATGATTCATGCGAGAAACCACAATTGAAGGTGATAAAAACTAAACCAAACAAGAAAAAACGTTAACTTTGGCTGCACCGAAACTAATATACCCTTCACAGGTGCATTTCTTTTCGTAACTATGTGCTCAGTTTGTATGGAACCTATATTCTATATTAATGCCATCTGAACAATGTTTTCGGAGATTATATTATTACCTTAAACAGTACGTCAAATGCAAAAGTTTTCCATACAAGCCCTTGATTCTGATCGTTCGGCTTATATAGCAGCTATATGCTATAGTGCCAATCTGAACAATTTCTTCTGATATTACATTATTTGTATGAACAATAACTCATACCAAATTTCGTGAATATATCATGCCAAATGTGAAAGTTTTCCATACAAGAACTAGATTCCAATTGTTCAATTTTTATGACAGCTATATGTATAGTAGGCCGATATCGGCAGTTTCGGCAAATGAGCAGCTTCTTGAATAGAAAATGACGTTTGCAAAATTTCAAAACGATATCTTAAAAACTGAGGGACTAGTTCGTATATATACAGACCGACAAACAGACAGAGAGACGGACATGGCTAAATCGATTCAGCTTAGCAAAATGATCATATATATATACTTTATAGGGTCTCCAGCGTTTCCATCTGGGTGTTACAAACTTCATGGAAATCTTAATATACCCTGTTCAGGGAGTTTAGGCATACAAATAAAATAGTGTATTTGGAAATCTTTTAAAATCAAAACATAGATTAAGCATTGAAAAATGGTTGAAGTTGTATTTGTAGCGCGATCATCTAATGAATATTGCCGGCTTATAGAAGAGGGTGTTAGATGACGAGGATTGAGTGAAAAAGGCGAAATGCAAGAAAGACTTTCATATGCCAAAGGGTCAAGCTAGCATAAGTAAGAGTTTGACCCGCTACCCATACTGTAGCTGTGGAAGGGTTTTGCGTGCCTTTTGATTACTTATTCTGAGAGTGGTGGTCGTAACATTCCTACGGCATTAATCGCTGAAAGAGTTTGCGGAGGTTCTCTAGCTACGCATACTAGCTTCTAGCGTTCACTCTGGCTTCGTCAAATTTACGATCATAACCGATAATTAATACATTTATAAAGAACGAGAAGGAAATAGAGAAGACAATTTGACACCATTCGTAAGCCGATTTCCGTGAAACTAATTGTATTTTTATACGTTGTACTCACTACCTTCCTACTACATGTGAGAAATATGTATGTTTATACTCTACGTGGGTTGCTTTTTATATTTCGGGACATGGCAACACTAGTGTTGCAATCTGGCAACTCACAACTTTTTAATTTGGCATTTTTGATTGATTTTATACATAATCAGAACGTTTTGATCTAGGAGCGCTGCTTGTGTTGTTTATAGTAACTTAAAATATTCATTTCGGTCAAAAATTTAATTAAATCGCTAACAATTTCACCCGTCAATTTTTTTTAAACACTAGACGTCGGTTATCTCGGCAACAGTGCACCAATGAACTTAACTAAATTTGTAGCGATGAAACTCCGTCAAAGACCAGTGTTTATCAATGATATGGTGAATTCAATCGAGGTCATAGATCACTCCGAGACGAATTTCATGAAGGTCGTCCAAAATCAGTTGTTGATCTATTGATTGATCTATCGGCATTTGTAGAATTAGCATGCATTTAATATTGCATGAACTGTTGACTGCAAAAGAAATTTGTTCACGTACACAACTATATGTTACAGCCGCAGAGGTGCCAATGCGAGCTCTCAAAGATCGGCTAAACATATCAAGACGTGAGTGCTTGATATATGCTTGCAAACGATGAACTTCAGTTTCTTTCATATTAGTCTGACGGGTGACTTATCTGAAAAATTTAGATGTGTGTAAATAGACATCTACATCGACGATATATGTACTTACATATGTAACATCGGTATTCATCTCAAATTACTGCCCTGCGATCGAACTTTCAATTAGAAAACAGAAAATAGTTAAATTAACAAGGCCGATTTGGCCGTGAAAGCAGGGGCGGTGTGCGCAGGTGCAATGTAGCGGTGTCCAATAGTTCTGCCTGTGATCCAACTTCAGGAAGTCGATGTGTCGATGGTCACACATCTGGTGGACAAGTTTCTCATGTTCAATTTTCATCCAAACTATGACCAACGCACTATTTCGAAATGTCTACTGCCTTAGTTATCTTACGCCACTGTAAACGACGGTCTCGGAGTATAAAGTTCTGGACTTCTGCTCCGTTATCCTCGGCTAAAAACCGAGGTTCAAGCATTGATCTAGGTCTAGATGTTGGTAGTCGTCAAATGAACGCGGCATTTAATTTTGATTTTTATTCCTAGCTGTTTGATTTTGGTTCACTTCTCATTCTATTGCTTTTTTCAATTATTCAATCTTTTCTATAGGTACTGGCGAGGCAGGAAAATCCACTTTCTTCAAACAAATGCACATCAATTACGGCGGAGGTTTTTCACCTGAAGCTCGTCTGGAATATAAGCGAGTCATWCATCAGAATATTCTGACAGCGATGAAGTCGATGCTGAATGCCATGAATGTGTTGATAATACCATACGATAAAATAGAAAATGCGGTAAGCATAATTTGCGTTTTTCATGTTTTGAGTCCATATAACCTAACTTTTTTGTACACAATTATTCAAATTGTAATTTTTTAATGACTTTCTTATTGATTTTTTTTCCTCCCAACAGCTGATGGCAAATAGCATTTTGATCGCCAATGTTGACGCCGTAACAGAATTAGACGAGATGATTTTGTCAGCCATAAAATGTCTGTGGGCCGATACGGGCGTACAACAATGCTATGAACGACGAAGGGAATATCAGATAATTGATTCGGCGAAATAGTAGGTTTACTATTAATAAATGTATCCTGAAATTGAACTTTGATCCACTAACTTACAATATATGTATATTTTAACGCAGTTTCCTTGACATGTTGGATCGTGTCACACAGCCCGATTACGTTCCCACAGATGATCACATATTGCATTCACGTGTGGTTACAACTGAAATAGTGGAGCACGTTTTCGATACAAATAAAATGAAACGTACTAGTAACAAACGACCGTTACTACGGTAAATGTGATACATTTCCGATTGTCTAAAGTATACATATGTATAAGAAAATAATCATAACTCTCTACTCTGCTGCTTCTCTTTGCAGAGTAATAGATGTTGGTGGACAACGATCTGAACGACGAAAATGGTTACAGTGTTTCGATGATGTGACAGCTCTCATATTTCTAACATCGCTCTCAGAATACGATCAGACACTAAGCGAGGAAGAAGGTTTGGTAAGTGAAACGCAAGTTTTGAATTATTTTATTTGAAGTAAGAAAGCTATCAATTCAGCACCGACTACGGCTGAGACAATTTTAGAATTGAAATRAATACCATTACATCGGGAAGAATGTAGAACCGATAGAAATATGCGTGGGCTGCTAATCACCAACAACCTCGGAAGTCAATAGGAGAACTTCCGAAGTTAAAAAATCTGAACCCTTAATGCCCTCACTAACATTATCTTGTCCCACCCACCTCTCCGCTTTTCTGGGTTACAATCAGGAAGACTCACTTTTGACTAAAAGTCAATACCGTTCATTCTCATTCTTTCCGTCTACCCGAGGATTTTTTTGTTAGTATGTGAAACCACTACAAAAACTATTTTCAGTGCTGAGCTTGTCTGCCAAATCATTCTTTTTAACCCTTTGTGCTTTCACACATTCATACAGATGATCGCGATTTCTTGTTGCTGTACTGTTAAGTCTATCTATATACTGTACTGATGATTCGATTATTTATAAGAATAATATTTCAAAATAAATATAAACTTGGTTATATTTCCCTTACATTACCTTTGTATACCAATATTCTTAAGAAGTAGTTCTTTATAAATAGGTAACCAACCGAGTAACTGTTTTGTTTTATATACAGAGCCGCATGGAGGAATCCAAGTSTCTATTTCGTATCATTTTATCAACAAGCTATTTTCGTAAATCTTCGATTATTCTATTTTTAAATAAACAAGATTTACTGGAAGAAAAAATAATGACCGCACACTTAGTGGACTACTATCCGGAGTATGAAGGTATGCATGGCTTTGGAATCTATTGTTTATACTACTTAAAATTCTTAACTTATTTTTCAAAATCTATATCGTTCTAATCAAAGCAACAATACACTTGTGTCAACATTTTTTCCATGCATGATATTGGTGGAAAATTTGCCTAAGAGCTGACGTATGCTCTTTGTTCATTATCATGGTGCAAAAAMTTAGAGTTGCCGACCTATAATTCCGTTCTCTTTTTACAAACAGCTTCAAGCAAACGACGCACAACACTCAAATAGTTATCCTTGTTGACAGTTCGGCCGGTCGAAAGGAATTCGATGTACACCACATCTCTATAATCGAAGAAAACTGTGAACATAATCTTAATTTTTGATTTCCTTTGACGTGGTATTTTTTTCGCTTCGGCTCACCTTTGCCACGATATTGTCCCGATTGATCGYTTGTTTCCGGATCATCAGCCTTGATCCAAGACTTATCGGCAATAATTCTACATTTCATGACAGCCTGGTAGTCGGAAAGCACGTTCATCCAATGCTGTTTGAAAAAATTTGTGATTTTGGAACCAATCGTGCTTTCACTTTTCTTAGGCCCAAAT